ATGCAATTTATAAAATATGAATCTAACGAATTTAGCACACTGAAATTTTAAGTTATGCTCATATTTTATGAAACACACTGCATCAGATGATACAGTAAGCAAACAACTATAATTTCCATTTAGCTGTATCTTCTAATGAGTAATTTCCGTCTATCTGCATATAAAATGATACTTGAATAAGCGCTTCGTGTCACCATTAAGTTAGTTGCACATATTATCTGAGTCAGTGTTTCTCAAGCTACGTTCTACGGGCACCTGGAGGTCCACGAGTACTCAAAAGAAAAGAAACAAGCGTAAAACAGTAATTTATTCTTATCACAAACATCCTACAAAGCGTTTTCTGTCGTCAATAGAAAATTAAATTGAGGAAAGCTTGATAGTTTGAAATAGCTGTAATTTTTTGTCTACCTTTGTCAATATCATATTTTACACTTGTAATATATTCCTTACTTATCATTCTGCTTCTATAAAAAGTAATCAACAATACTAAACTTTGTTGTACTATTATGTAAAAAAAATTAATTTACTATTAAAGAATATTACAAAAATCAGACAAATTCCTTCAGTAGACAATGCATAAAAGATTTAAATTATTTCAACATAAATACCTTTTATTCAGAAATAGTTTTCAAATACATGGAATAATTAATAATTCAATTTTATTCACTGAGATCATTCATTAGAAGATGTAGTCCGAGAAACACTGATTCACTCTACATAATATGGCGATGATATATGAATAGATAATTATACCTCGTGAATATCTTTGAACGAAAGCTACTTTAAGGTTCAGACAAACATAGAATACGGGATCGAACAATTACACAAATAGTCAATGTCATCTTATCTCGATAAAAGATAGAAGCCTCGAAATTTCGAATACGGAATATCAAATTCTCGTGAAACGAATCGTGTTCGATTCGGTTAAAGGTCGGTCTGAAATTTACAAACGGCAGTAAATCATGTATTCCGCGCGTTTAAACTTCTCCCGGTCGCCTATCGGTTAATCGGATCGTAGACGAAATTGTCGTGCATCGCGTACAACCATGGTGGCTTTATCGAGGACAAAAGTGCTGGCAAAACGTTTTCCGATGATTTCTTATTATTTCGTGACTCCCGTGTCGCTTTGAGAGTCCGGTTAATCCAGTGACGCAATTTCCATTCATAGTCCCGAGCGTACAGGGGGTAAAAAGATACGAAGTCACGTAAATCGTTACGCGATAGAGGCACGCGGCGAATATTCCTCTGTAGCTGCAACGGACCCAAAACTTCCGGTTGTAGCCCCGATAGAGAGAAGCCACACCATTAAGCGGCGTGATACCCCCATACAAATCACGTCGATCCGCGATTTATGGTCCGTTCACCTCCCCTCTCGCTATCGTGTTATCAGTCCGGCCAGTTACCAGTTCCTGAAACGAGATTCCACCCTGAGAAACACTCTGTTTTCACGCTGTCCGAACTTGATTCTTCCCTTTCGCGTAAACGACAAGTTTGGACACTGTCGCGTTCGATTCGAAGCGCGATTGAAAATTCCTCAAAATTCCATACCGTTTCGAGAACAAGAGGAAAGAAGAAATTCAACTCTTTCGACTCCGCGATTCGTTGAATCGCCCTGCAATCTCCCTCGATTCCCACGAGACTCGTTGACTCGAAGCTTTTCTTTCGGATTCGATGTTTCCTCTAGCTCCTATAGACTCTCTAACCATCTGCTGCGATCTTTGTATACGGAACCACTAACCCAATTAACCTGGAACTGGCTTTAGCGACGTTTCGTAATATTTTATGTTTCGTAGAAACTTTCAGCTACCTCTCATCGATTCCTTCCTACGTACATCCAACGTTTCCAGCGCTTATTTCCGCGAAACGAACCTCTTGTGCAAGTCGATCCAAAGGAGGGCTCGAAAAATCTAGGGGCAAGCAGTACTCTCGACAGTAGAAAAGGAAATGTTCGATTAACTCTGATCGACAAATCGATTCTATCGGAAGAATATGGGATTTTTCGTCTGAAAATTACAATTAGTTGCGTCTTTCGTTATCTCTTGTGCAAAACAATTGCAAAAGCATAAAGACTTTGACAGATAACGATAGCATCTCTTCTTCTATTATAATATTTTACGTACGCTACTAACACGCTCACTGTCCACTACGTAAATTTATAGCGTGCAATCAACATTTTTCTTTCATTACCAAACATCTAATAAACATAAATAAATTTAATAAATTGTACAAATTCACACAAGACACAAGGGTCTAGAAAAGTCCAAGTTTGGCTGCCATTGGTATTTCCTTCTAATTTTTATTCACAAAACGACACAGTACAATTTCTCTAGAAAATTCTCGGTCACCCTGAAACGCACACGCATAAAAAATTCGTATTTAAATTCCCCAGTGGAAAATAGGAGAAAAGACTGAATAGCCTCGAAAAGCTGTGTGGGCAGCGAGCGATGTTGAAACAAAAAGACGCGTATTGCACCGCCGGAAGTTGATTCTCAGGCGTACGTTAAGTGGACATTTTCTCTGCTTTCGCCAGTACTTGCGTCCTGCCCCGTAACCTTCGACCCAGATTTTGAATCGCACCGCGCTTTCATCGATTTAATTTCGCCCTCTTTATTTGGTATCGCTGCCGATTCATCACTCCCGATTCCCGCAAGTCCACGCAGATTTCGAATCGACCCTTGTACACGCCTCGCCGTCGCTTTGTACGACTCCAACAATGGCTATAATTCACTGGCGTGTATCCCCGTTTTCATTCCCCGTCTTTTCACCGTGTCCTGTCCATTCTCACTGTTTCCCGCGCCGCTCTTTCGCCGTCGATGTTCCGCGCTAATGTTTCGACGGACCGCCTTTGCGCGTCCAGACCGACTTTAAACCATTTACCCGAGATCCCTTGTGCGATATTTTTTTTTCCTTTTTTCTTTCTTTCTTTCTTTCCTTTTTTTTTCTTTTTTTTTTTTTGTTCTTACCCCGATTCCAACGCTAAACGCTCCGCTCGCGTAATGCGCGCGGCGGCGTGTTTGCCCCGCGAAAAGCGAACCGCCGAGGAAAAATTGCGGAACGTGACGTCAGACCGTCCGTATTCATTGACAGCACAAAACACGCTGGTATTTATTCAACCGGCTTAAAAGATCCTCGAGTTTTGTTCCCGCGGATACCCGCGTACGCGATGAAGTTTTTCTTTGCGCGCGTCGTTATAAATTCCGTGTTATCGGGCACGACCGGGAGTAATTAATGCCCCTGTAAGTAATTAACGTACGAAGATTACCGTCATTCTCGCAACGTATTTCGCGGCGCCCGGAATAAATCTGATCATAAATATCGATTCCTAACCCGTTCGGTAGATACGCGATTTGAAAAAGACGAATCTCACTGCCTTTATCGAGCGTCTGTTCGATCAATGTTTCAGTCGACTTGAGTTAAAATGATTTTCGTGAATGTCACTGCTATGATGCATGATGAAAAATAATAGATTTTATGATATTTACAACTACTATATTATTTCACATAAACTATTTGCTGGCACATTTACAATTACATTTATTGTTTGTCGATTTAGTTTCTATAATTCTGAAGATGATTTCGAACTGGTAGATCGAAGCATTCGTAGAATAGACGCTTGATCGAGATTGGAAAATTTGTCTCTTTCATTATATCTACAAGCTCTAATACTAATGACTTATTATTTTACTCCCTAATTTCGCGAAAGAAAAACCGTGGTTTTTAGTTTTTGACTTATATAAGATTATTCAAGATTACCAATCATTTATTACACAATGTCGGTCAAAATTATGGGACCACCTGCATTTAATATTTTTTTATCAAAGATGTCCTGAATGTCCTATTATTTAGAAAAATTAATTGTTGCGTTTTACGTTGAATTTACGTACGTATAAACAGGAGTTTCAGATGTGAACGTTTAACTCGAAACATCCAAATGAAAGACATAAAACCGGTTTTTTCATTAAAACAAAAATTCACGTAACTTCTTTTACGACACGTCAGTATTTGCTTGCTTCGGAACAAACGCACGTAGAGCAATTAAAAAACTAAAAAAATTTTTATTGTCTGGCTTACTAAATCATCGTAGAACGAGATTCTCTGCTTTCAGGATTCTTTATGGTCTCATACTTCTGACCGGCAGTGTAATAACAGAGATTGCATTGTCCAATTTTCTCTCGCGGAAAAACCACGTTTAGCCGCATCGAAATGTTACTGTTTACATTTGTATTATATTTATTTCCATCAAACTAGATCTCCACGATTCAAGAAACACATCGTTGGCTGTTTCCTGAACCAGCGAAAGATCAACTCATCACCCCCCATTTTTAATATACTGGGCGATCGCGTTATCGTCATCTAGAATTTTTCTTTTCGATGAACGAAACACATTCATTCAAATAAATCTCGAAAGTTTGTAATAAATTTCGAATCACGAATCTTATCGCAATTTTCTTTTTAATCGAATTGCACATGCTTTTTGATATTATCGATTATTGGCTGTGAGTTTGAAAAATTCAATAACTTTGATTTAAAAAATCAGATCGTTAATATAAAAATAGTAATATGAAGTAGTAAATAGTTTCTTCTACTTTTTCTTTACATCGTTCTTTCGCGAGACAAATTCTAGAAAATGATGACATGAATCCCCGGTATATGTGGTATTTTAATTGTTAGCACTAACTTAACTGGCTGTATTTATTTTATAAATATAAAAACTTGTTCTCGGAAGAAGTCAGTTTTTAATATATCAATACAATAAAGCATTCATGCCACCGAAGTATCGAATCCAAATAAGAGAATGTATAGAATCATTTTCTGAGATATCATATGAACTCCAGCTACCAGTTAAGCATGTGCTTACAATTTCAGAAACGCCCGGTATAAGTTATCGAGGAAATTCAGTTAAAAAGATTTTAATTTATTTTCTCGCCACCGCCCCCATCGTCCCCTTTTTTGTTTTATCCCACATTCTCAGCTCTCTTCTTGTTCTTTATTAATGTCAGGAGTGCCGGCAGTGTACTACCACGGAACCGGAAGTGAGAATGCGAGCCGCGCGTATACGGAGACACCGATGCAACACGTCCAACGGACTGCAATCCGGAAGAAATGTATGAAGTCGACATTCACTTTGGACTGGAAATACGCATTACGCCTTCTTTCCCCACTCTCATCTATGTCTCTGTTTTTCCAATTATCTTAGCAACTCTGACTATTTTTTTTGTACCTCTCTATTTTTGTATCCTCCTCTTCTTTGTCTGTCTCTTTCATTTTTTTCACTCGTCTTTCGAACATCGATCGCCCAATGCTTCAGCTTCCGCGCGTACGCGAAAATTCCGGTTTATGGTTTTACCGTCCGTTTCGCCAATTATCACCCTCGATCGTTCCCCGTTCCGCATCATTTATCGCGATTCATACATTTCTGCCCCCCGACCCCTTTGAAGCCCGCGTTCGCGGAAATAACAACGACGAAACGCTATTCGACGAGTCGAGCTCTACTCGGGGGAGCACACTATCGTAACCAGTTTCGCCCAATCAATAGCCCATTGGTTCTATTATTACATGACAAATATTTGATGAGCACTCGTCGCGTCCGTGCGAACGCGATATTCGATCTTGTCGATGAGACTTCGAGGAATCCTCCTGTTAATATTGCAGCACACGGGAAATATTCTAACGAGAAAACATCCGTCGCTACGAGTCTGACTGGCACACAGCGACGGAGCTTGAATTACCGAAGCCAGAGATTATAGTTTCAGAATAGTACGATCAATCGTTTACAAGATATTTAACGTTAAAATTTTAGCGTCCATGTTCGTCTGCTGAGATAGTGTCAGGTTCACGGAAGAAAAGCTCTGAGTGGAATTCGACGCAATACGCTAACTCTGTGACGTTTGTGAGCTAAATTGCATTGGTGGATGCATGATCTTGTGCAATAGGTACTCGATCATTTGAAAAGTATCGTACTTAATAATTAGATTATATAGACATTGAAATTTTTTTATGCATAAATATGCAAGGTGTTCGGCCACCCCTGGGAAAAATTTGAATGGGAGATTCTAGAGCCCAAAATAAGACGAAAATCAAGAATATCAATTAGTTGATTGAGGCTTCGTTAAAAAGTTATTAAAAGTTATTAAAAAATTAAATTAAAAAATTTCAAATCATTGACGGAAAAATTATTTTCGGTTGCGGGGGTTAATTACAATCATTTTTGTTGAATAGACATACCCCCGAAATCTTACGCACTTAGGCGGAAAAAATTCTTTACCGAAAATATAATGTCTGATCATGAATGATGATTCCCTTGAAATTCGGCGAAATTGAAAAGTTCAAATCCGTCTAAAAAAATTATTTTTCGTTGCAGGGATCAATTACAATCATTTTTGGTTAATACACATACCCTCGAAATCCTACGCAGTTTCGAGAAAAAAATTCCTAATCGAAAATGTAATTTATGGCCAAAAATGTTGCCCAGAAATTTCATGCGAATCTTTAAAATATCATAACTTCTGAACAGATTGGAGGATTTTAATGTTTCAAACGGCAAACAACGCGTATCTTGATGAAGAATATGTGGAAATTCAAAGAATATTCGAAAAGTTGTTCCTCAACCCCGTAAACTGAGAAAAACACCATAAAAATGGTCCAATATTCAAAAGACCATAACTCCTATAATAATGAATATATTTCAATGAAATTTTTTTCTGAAACAGAGCTCATAGGTACCTACAAAAAAGTATTAAACAACTTTTCCATAGGGCGTCAAACAAAATTAATAAAAATGTAAAATAGATTTTTAAGAAAAATCGACAGGGGGTGCTTAAATTTTTCGGCGAAAAAAAAATTTCAAATCATTCTGGAAAAATTATTTTCAATTGTGGGGATCAATTACAATCATTTTTGGTGAATAGACATACCCCCGAAATCCTATCCAATTTCGAGAAAAAAAATTTTTTATCGAAAATATACTGTGTGGCCGGAAATGTTTCTATAACTTTTTAACGAAGCCTCAATCAACAAATTAGTATCCTTAATTTTCGTCTTATTTTGGCCTCTAGAATCTCCTATTAAAATTTTCCTAGGGGTAGCCGAACACCCTGTATATAAATTGTAGAAAATACAAGTTACAGTTGCAACAAAAATATTTAAGAACACGATGCAAACATATGTTTACAGAAACTGTCTGCATTGATTTCAAGTTCCGTATCAATTCTTGAAATACTTCTCACGTATTATGGAACATTCTATATACATTTGCATTATAACTGTCTACTCTTTCTCGTGAAAACTCTTTATTATCTTCTCATCGTGGATAAACAGACTGGCAAAAATTGAAACGTTGCTCGTAAAAATTATTAACCGTATTCCCCTGAAACTATAACGACTGGCTTCAATATTCCACGATTCCGTCACTGTGCAGAACCCGAATGACCGGTCGAACTTGCGCCGAGGGGATGTTGCCTTGCAAGTAAGCGCATCGAGAAAGTCGTTTCTATTGTCCCCGGGCCGTTTCTTACGCGAGCATATTAACCAGACCGGCGTAATAACGTCGTACGCGAGTGTGCTTCCGACCGGATTCCCGGGCGAACCACTGTAGAGAAACAAAAGGGCGCAGGCAAAATGGAAACGAAGGAACGAAAGAACGGTCGGAGGAGAAGGTTTAATCCGGGGGATCGCGAAAGCGTCGCGACGCAGAAGGAAAACCGTGCTCGATCGTCGGCACGGTTTCAGGGGGAGGATCAGCGACGAAGCAACACACATGGAACAATCACGTCTCCGACTTCCTTTCGGCCCCTATCGCTTTGACGTCGCAATATTTGTTCTCTCGTTTAATTAGCCACCGGCTTGAGTGGCGGACGAGACAGACGCGGCGAAACGCGCGTACGCGTTGTGCATCAAGCGCGGAGCAGTTGTGATCAGAGTTTTATGTTTCAGTGGATCTTACCAACGGACAGCTCACCCCCAACAACAACACGCCCTTGCTCACGCAAGCTCTTTCTGGTACGTCTAAAGTTTTCCATTCTTTTCGGCTTCGATCGGCTACCGCTTTCTTAATTTGTCTCGCATTAAAGAAGGGCTCCCCTCGGGGGTGGGGTTTTTCTGTACATCAGAATGCACGGCCGATATATATATATATATGTATAGGTTCTAGCTGGGAACGACGCACGGTTTCCGATTCTTGATCGCTTTTCATTTATCGAGTCACGCGATAGAGAACGAAAGCAATAACAGGAGAGAATACGACGATAGCTTCCACGGGGCTTCTTACGAGGCCCTTCGTGATTGCTAGATCGAGACGTTACGATATACCAACGGGATCCGGTATTACGGGGCGTTGCAACGGGACTGGAACTCGTGTAATTCAATCCCCTTTCGTGATTCGATTCTCGAGCTTTAACCGAAACAAGCTTTGCATTACGCCGTAATGGCAAATTGCAACCCTAATGCGGCTTCTTCGTACCTCGAACCGTGAACGCGCGCTAAGACTCGCCGCCCTTCGCGGAACTTGCCAAAGGTTACGCCTGGCTGTACGCGATCGTTGTGCTCGAATCGTTTCTTAATTCGCGGAACAGCGACTTCTTCGAATCTCGAACCGACGGAGGACGCGATTGTCTCACGATGTTCGATTTCTTTCGATCGATCTGCATCTTGGTAGCGCTTTGTGTCGAAAATTTTTCACCAGTCTGGACGAAATTTCTAATCATCGAACGTGTAAACAGGTGTATGACGAAGTCCTTTCGAAGTTAATATAGTTCAACTAATAAAAGAGTCAAAGAAAATTATATAGGGACGAGTAGTTCAACACATTCAATGTGCAACAACAATTTGACTCTCGTAACATTTTTCTAATATATTTAAATAGGATCAGGTGTCCATTTTGTCGCTGATAAATGATGCATTTTCGATGCCACTGCCAGATATACAACCCCCGCGCCATTTGTCATCCGCCTCCGAATTTGACCGTAGAACATGTTTAATATTTATTGCAATATTCGATTTTCTCCACACGATTACCTTACCCATACGAAACGATGATATTTTTTGACTAGTCTATGAAACCTACAATTTCCTTTCTAACGCACAGATTCTTTCGAGAACTTCTATTATAGATAAAGAATATATTTTCTTATTTAATCGTTCTTCAACATCTGCCGCTATTTCCGAAACAGTAACTTCATTATACTTGATATTATAATATTTTTCGTTTCCACATTTATTAATGAAACGTCCGTAGCACACCCGATAACAAATTTCTGCTAAAACCGTGCTCCCCGAACAATAGTTTCTCGTATCACATTTCCCCTGAGTTATCGCAGAACTCGAAAGACGATCAACAATTTCCTGCGAGGAACGACTGTTTGAGGTCTCGCGGAGGGTAGATTGCGCGGACGAAATTTACGAGAAGAATGCTTCTAAATAAGTGAAAGAGATCGCCGCGATTCCTTCTCGAATTCTTTCTCAAGAATCTGGCGCTAATTTCTGGAAAATGGCTGCTAGTTCGAGCACCCCTCGCTTCGACGCGTCATGAAAAGACTTTCTTCTTGACTCGCGTACAGCTAGGTCAGTGATTCTTAACCTATATGCTGACACTAAATTTCTTCAAATTTGTTAAGTTGCCACAATTAATTCAATATTTAATTAGATACACTAGACACTTTAGTCAGCATTAAAAAGGCTATCGACTTATTTTTTCTTCGAAATACATCATATTCATATAAACACTTCTCTACACAAAAGGTTCTAGAACGATTTAATAGCGAAAATGGGGTTGAAAGATTAAATTATTTGACCAAAACAAGCGTGGAATCTAGCTATTATATTTCTGCGATTACTCTCGACAAAGATCTGTATTGGATTTTCTTTTCTAAGCCGTGCAGCAATTCGAAAGATATCAGAAACTTCTTCTAAACCGTGCCATGAGCTTAAAAAGGTTAAGAACCACTGAGGCAGGGCGAGGTGGGACGGGAGGGGGCGATGCAATCCAGACAGCATGGAAGAAAAGCAGCACGGAATACTGAAAAGTGTCACACATGTAGGACGGCGAGATGCCGGCAGCGAAATACGGCGATTCCACGGCAACCCTTTTATTTTTTATTCGGTTTTTCCCCCGTCGCAGAATCTGGCCTGATCCGCTCGCCTCGTTCATCCCCCCGTCCCTCCCACCGCGTCAGCGCCACCCCTGCCGTCCACAATCTCCTCTCAAATAAATCAAACTTTTGAATCGCGCCCCGGCTTCCTCTCCATCGACGAACCCGGCCACCGGCAGAAAACTTTGTAACCGGCCGCCATTGTCAAGAGTTTAAAAGCTGAATGGGGTTTTAGATTGTACATCGAGCGCTTTCGGTTTGTCATACTCCGTCCTCCGTCTTTTCTTCGAGCGAGTTTTCGAATTCCTTCGCGTTCCTCACCCCCATCGTCGCGCAATCTTTCGTCCTCCGCGACTTCTTTCTCGTCATCTTCGTATTTTTTCCCCCCAACTTTATTTCGCCTTCGTCGTACGCCCTCGCGGCATTACGCCGCGGACGTAACGATTTGTCGTGCAATAATTTCTATTCGAAGAAAATAAGACCATCCGTGCAAGTTCCATCGAGTCGGACGTTATAATCAACCTTTGTCAGGCAAATATAGTGGCTCGAACACGCGGTCCCATTGCTGGATGGGAGAGAAGCCATCTTTGTAGTCCAACAATTCGTTCATAAATTTGTACAGTAGATTCTAGTGAACTGGTGAAATACAATGTTCAATTCTTGCTTTCGTTAATGGGAAGGTTAACGAGACTATCTTTTCCTGCAAAACAACTATCGTAAATACGACAGTTCTGTAATCGCAAAGTCACTGGAGTTGAGGCACAAAGTCGTTGAAGTCGGCCATTTTGAATGACAATACGACACTATTTAATGACCATCGTTGCAACTAGATGTGTGACGCATTTTGGGTTAATCGTTACGTCTAAGGCCTCTATTGTATACCATGTATGGTAATTAAGTTCCAAAACCACGCTAATAGAAAGAAGGACTTGTATTTCTGATAAATAATTCAAATTTTCAACATCCATCGAGTTCCTTTCACTGTACTTATTATTTCGAGAGATTCCAACATATCGTTGACCATCAGGTCATTTTACAAGTCTCTACATTTGTTTTCTTAAACAAATTGTTTCATAGGAAAATATGTATCGTTTATGTTATTGTATAATTAGTAATCGACTTCAAAATAAATTTTATGTTACCTATTATTTTTCTTTTATTTTCTAATCTGTTTAATTTCAAAACTAACATACTAAGAATTCATTGAAATCAGAGCGATCGTCTAAAAAATACATAATTATTGAATTCTTGTTACGCTCATTTTTAACTAAAAAGTATTTACCTTGCCCAAGCCGATTTAACACTAAACCTACTGGCACTTCATGTATACCCATTTCTATCATGACCTGTCAAACGACCAGTTTTTCTTTTTCTGTTTTACGAGGCAACGTAACTTTTGCATCATATGTATAGAAAGTTGTGTTTCGATGTTTATTCGTAAGATATCCTTCTCTCTTATGTCAACAAATTTTTTAATTTTTAACGGATAGAAGATAGAACGCACTTGAAAATGAATTTTGTTTCAAGTTGATACCGTAGTTAGTTCTAGAGAAAACTAGGCTAGTAAATACTCAAACATCCTATATTTAAATTTAAATTAATTTTCAATCAAATAAACAATTTATGATCCAGTTTTATCGTGCACTAGTCGTATGATCAGTAGGAATTTCTAAAACTTCTTTGGATATATAGTGTCAAAGTAAATTTCAAAATAAACATAGAAGATGGCATAAATTATAATAGGTGGTATAGTCATTGGGTAGAGGATGAAATGCCCTTTAAAATGAGCGTTCGAACTAGTCGATAGCTTTATTAGTTCCGGAGATATAGCGATTTTAGTTTCAAGTCGATGCGGTGGCTAGTTCCGGAGATATAAGGATCCAAAGCGTTTGTTTACTTTCTTACTACGGTCTTGTCAAGGTCGTTGACCGGCACAGTCACGAGTCACGTGCGAGAAAGAGAGGTCTGGCGCGACGTGTCAGACGGAGACAGAGATAGTTCAAACTAGAAAAATTACCTTTTACATAAATTACGATATCTCCGAAACGAAAAGTCCGATCGTCAAAAACCAAAAACCATTTTAAAGAGGAAGGTTTGCCGCTTCCGACGATGTGTCAATTATTAATAAAACACTAGTAATTTTGGAACTGCACGCTTCTAAATTTGAACTATTTTAATACGCGTTGTAAGACTGTTCTAAGACAGTGGAAACTTAAGATTTTCTCCTTTCGTCTTTGCTATACATATATTTCCTATTTACATCGGAAGCTAACCAGAATTTGATACCAAATTATGTCCAGTTCAAATATAAATCATTCAACCGGTCAGATGCCCGGTCGTGGTAGGCAAAACAGACTACATATAATATTTTTCTCAATAAACAAACAATAAGAATATATGTGAATATTGTAAAATTCATTGTACGTATACTATAAGGAAACTCGTCAAGTTAAACAGCGGTAAAATAATATTGTGTGTTAGAAATTCTGAACAAAATTTAAAAAACGGTCATTTGATGACCGGTCGCGGCAGGTTTAGTGTTAAAAGCTTGCAAAATGACCTGATACATTTCATCATTAAAATTTAGGCTACCAGATATCTCCTAATAGCTTCAGATTTGTATTTTCATAAACAATCAGTACCCAGGGGTTTAAAATATTATTTTAAGAGCTGGTGTAATAGTTCTGAATCTACACAATATCTTTTTACAAGATCAAAATTTTTGGTATCACATTTACAAAATTTAAAAAACGCCGGCCATGCAAAGGTTTAAATATTCTACAAAATTGTTGCGTTAGCGTCGTCGTCCTCGATTCTCTTTGCGTTTCACGAGGTTCTATTCTTCGTCGATGGTCGTCTCGTTCCGTCCACGGACGGACAAAGTTTCGCTCCAATAATAATCTCTTTAAAATTATTCGAACAACGATCCAGTTAAAAGTTTAATCGACAAACGTCCTGACGCTGTTCCCGAGTTCTTTGGAATGCGCGCGCAAAATTCATTCCTTTTTCCGTTCGTTTTTGCAGCATGTTCCCTTTGTTATAATCGAACTAACACAAATATCGCGGGATGCGGCACGATAGCGCGAGTCAGATGTAAACGATTCCTCTCACGAGCGAAAAACAGGACATTAAACGGGTGACTCGAACTAAAAAGCACGTGCTCGACGTTGTTTCTGCGTTAGCCGGCGCGTTATTGACTCGTGGAATTGCGTTGCTTGCTCTGGCGACGCATGCAACGCCCGTATCTGTGCTGGCGGTTTCTGTTGCTCCATTACGCGCAAAGCTGTCTTGTAATCCGCTTATTCAGTATCTCCTTTTATCTGCTTCTTCCATGTTTACGTGTGTCACGATAATTTGTCTCCGTCGGAGACTTTATTGTACCACTCTTTGTGTATGTATCGTTGTGTACGCAGTGTCATGTGTCTGTCGGTGTAACTCGTCCTCATTCATCGGTGTGAATCTTTTTATTTTTTTACGGAGAAAAGGAAACGTAGACGATCGTTGAACACGTATTTCTTTTATGTGTAAGCGATATAGCATAAAGTGTCGCGCGAAATCGTATTACATCGAGATTGTTCATTGTGCTGCGGGATATACACATGTACAGAAATGGTAGTACAGTGATGCTGACTGCGTGATGAGTTTGTTGTTGACATTGTAAAGCGTGTTTTGTGATTTAAGTAAATTAGATACCATAAGTTTTCTATTAGAGCAAAATATGAGTAATAACGTAGAGGTGTATTAGTTAATATCGTTGTTTGGAAATCGTAGAGCCACACCAGCGGAGAAATCCAAACAGTTACGCGAATGATTGTAAACATGCAGATCGACACGTTTGCCTTTGTAGCATGCTGTTAGTGTGTCTTCGTACGTGTATGTGAAATGTATGACAATTAATTGTGTAAGACGGAAATTAAATGACAATCGGCCGTTTCGCGTTGGAATTTGATAAATGTTCGCTGTGCCCGATCGTTGGTTCGAAACAATGAATATTTTTCTCTTTGATTAGAATAATTGTACAGGTTGTGTCAAACCGAGACGAATCGAAACATCCAAATTGAGTGTAACAATAAAATATGCAAAATATTTTACCATTAAGTAATCTGAAATGTGTTAAAAATCATAGAAGTAGAAAATTTGTCTAAAATTTTTAGAACTGACTAAAATTAATTTAAATTGAATTTTGGGATTTTTCCTATTTAAAGAAATATGGTCTGTTTAACGATGTATCTTCTTCTCGGATACAAGTAAAAGATACAGATTTTATAAGTCATTTGTTAAATAGAATTCAGAATTTGAAGCATCAAGTGACGAAAATAAAAAGTTACGACCTCGTTTGAGGATTAATTTAAACATCCCTAAATTTTTATTTTCTACGTATGCAAAAATTGCACCACAGATTGTAAAGTGATAAAGATTGTTTTGATTTCTATTGCTATGGAAAATTGTCATGTTTCAATTCGTTCACCATACACCTGTACGATTTTGGACAATGTCATGATAAGCAAAAAAAACAGCAAAATTACGATACTTAAACACTGAGTGTATTGTTATACTCTAAAAACGCCCACGAATCAGTCATCGAGCCGCTCGAAACGCGTGCAATTGTTCTTCAGTCATGAGAAATCAAGTCAGCCGGATCTGATTGCGGTTCGTGTCGCGATTAATTTTCCTCGGTCGATCAGCTTCAAAAAACAGAAGAACGTTCTCGCGGTACGAATCCGTCGATAGCCCCCAAAAAATCCGGAAAACGCGTTTTCGATCTACGATTATACTGGGTGTCCACTTGAGAGCTTTTTCTGGACTGCTTCTATTGAGCATAAGACTATCTAATACAGTGCTCTCCAAACTAGAACTCATAAAAGTTCTCTGGGGTTTCATTAACAAGGAAAAACCGCGATGCAAAGATGTCGCCCACGACAGACCAGAGACTCTGGCGTCAAGGAACCCGAGGCATCACACACGACATGTGTTTAGTAACACGTTATAGAAGCAAGTCTAGTCCTACTATTTTCCGAAAATTTCAAGATGGTTGTCATGGCTGACCTCTATGACAACGTACTGTGCAGAGATCGTAAGTTGCCAAGTGCCCACAGACTACTGGTAAATCTTCACGATGAACATCCGGAATGTCCGAATAACCGGTATATTAACCCCAACTATACTTCAGTAAATATTATGGATTATATTTCACACAAACAAAGAAATCACAGCCGCATGCATCTAGCAGTGACGCCGATACTAAATAGTTGACGAATAAACCGTAGGAATTTTATATATTTTATTTTTTATTAATAAATTGTATTACTATATTGCCCACGGTTGTGTTCATTAAAAATCAAAAATAAATTTTTAAGAAAAATCGGTAGGGCGTAGGTGGCTAAATTTTTCGGAAAAAAAAGTTTTAATCATTCTGGAAAAATTATTTTCAGTTGCAGGGGTCAATTACAATCATTTTGTGTTAATAGACGTACCCCCGAAATCCTACGCATTTTCGAAAAAAAAATTCAGGAAGGTGGACAAATTTTTCGACAAAATTAAAAAATGTCAAATAGTTCTGGAAAAATTATTTTCGGTTGCTGGGGTTAATTTTAATCATTTTTGGTGAATAGGCATACCCCCGAAATCCTACGCACTTTCGAGAAAAAAATTCTTTACCGAAAATATGTCTGACCATACCATTGACATGTTTCACTGAAATTTCATATATATCTTCAAAACACCATAATTTCTGAACGGATTGGAGGATTATAATGTTTCAAAAGGCAAACAACGCGTATTTTGGCGAAGCATATGTAGAAATTCTAAAAATATTCGAAAACTTGATCCTTAACCCCGTAAAGTAAGGAAAACCCCATAAAAGTGGTCCAATTTTCAAATGACCATAACTCCTACAATAGTTAACATATTTCGTTGAAATTTTGGGAGAAAGTAGAGCTCATGGATACCTAAAAAGAAGTACTAAACAACTTTTCTGTACAACGTCAAACAAAATTACTAAAAATCAAAAACGAATTTTTAAGAAAAATCGACTAAGTGCTTAAATTTTTCGGAAATAAAAAAATTTCAAATCATTCTGGCAAAATAATTTTCAATTGTGGGGGTCAATTACAATCATTTTTGGTGAATAGACATACCCTCGAAATCCTATCCATTTTCAAGAAAAAAATTCTTTACCGAAAATATACTGTGTGACCAGATATGTTTCACCGAAATTTCATGCGTATACCTTTTCAGTGATTATATTCTTCGTTGCTATCATTCCATATGTAGGTATAGTTCATTTATCCGACATATTTGATTTCCCGGGATTGCCCTAGTCTTGAGTATGCCGGATAATCGGAATTTTACTCATGAATGAGATTAACTTAGCTAATAATGACAATCCGTGCTACCGAAGGTGGTACAGATAATTTCATTCGTCGACGACTTACGATCGCTGCATAGTGCATCCGCGAAAAGATGAGTATCTCCCATAGTGCCCAACGCATAGGTTGGTAGAACACGTCACGCGTCTCTAAACTAAAATAGAGCAGGGACTTAGGCACTTAATCAAGTTCTATCACACAGTAGAAGTCGGAAGCAGGCGCGCGAGGGGCTCCTACGCCGAAGAGCACTGTTGGAGTAAGCACGCAATTGATAGTATCGGTTCTTTCGCACGAACATCCGTAAGTCGAGCATGCGAGTGTCGAGTCGATTGTCCAGTATGGAGGACTCCCGTTTGCTCGTGCGGAAAGGCTCTCTTATCCTCGACGACCGGTCTCGGAAGAGCAAAACTGTGGACACCCAGCGTTAGTCGTGACGCGTCCGCGCGAGTGAAACGGGAACGTCGGCACGGCTGACGGTATTTGGCCGATGCAGGCTGTCGCGTCACGTGGAATGGTATAAAAATTAAGGCGCGTTCGTTGCAGTGATGAACAACTACCAGGCGGCCGCAGCGCAGGCCGGATTTCCGCCGGCGTCGCCTCACGCGGCCGGCGGCCACGGCGGGCCACAGGGTCGATCTTTTCCTGCGGCCAACTCGCCGGGCCCCATCGACATGTATAGTTCAAGCGCCGCAGCCGCAGCAGCAGCCGCAGCCGCGGACTCAGCAGTTGCCAGCTACGTCCAGGCCGCAGCTAGTCCGCAGCCCCCTACGACCGCGTTCCCTGCGATCGCTGTGTCCCGTGCCCCGCTCAACTACAGTCCCGTAAGTCCACTCTACGATCCCCCCTTTGGCCCAATCAGGCCCGCGCGCCAACAGTGTTGTCGAGCACGGTACAGTCCGAACGGAATTCATTGACTACTCAAGGCCTCGCTTTCCCCCCATCGAGTCACGCCAGACGAGAAGACTGAGACTCGGAGAGCGAAAGAATCGATTTGGGAGGCATTCTTCCAACTCTTCTCGCCTCTGACGATGGATCAGATTGCGACAGGGTTGAAAGTAACGATGGGGATGAAAGAGTGGAAGCTCTTATTCTTGGAATCTTTCATAGATATTATACTTTAACACGTTCATTGTGGAGAACACAGATTTACTTACTTCTGAGACTAACTTTCTTGTCGGGATAGAAGTATAGAAAATGATTCATCTGGTTCATAGAACAAGAGACAAAAATATAGTTTAACCACGTTGCTAGTCTTATGTGTAAATAGAATAGAATAATACAAAGTTCATACAATAAAATAATTAGCAAATAAAGAAGTATTTATTGTAAACAAGTATCTCGTAAAACGTGTCGAGAATGTAACTTCATATGTTAGTCTGAATAAAATAAATATTCAATATTTAATGACTATTGACTATGGATAATATATCTGAACAATGCGAATTTCCTTGTTAGGAAAGGATAAAATGTGATTATTATATTTATACTTATTATGTATTTATTACACAATGAACGTGGAAAATAATTGGGGCATGACTATACTCATCCGATTCTAATGTGTTTTTGCAGAATGGTCACATACAAGTTTTTGTTACTACCTGTAGGGATTAAGGGCAGAAACTCGATAATTTCAGAGACTATTCAAAATAACAGAACATGGGAACGTATTACAGTAATCTCCATATAAGCGAAATAATTAACAAACTGGTATTCCTTATTTTTTACTGCTCTAAAAACTTGCAAAATTCCATCGAATTTGAAGGACACTTTCCAGAAGGTCTTTGTGAGAAAGATAAAATAATATTGAATATTCAAAGCCATATTTTGTACTATATCTTTATGAGAGTATTACCAAAATATTGGTGAGGTTTCTTCATAGAAATTGAGCACAAAAACAGCCTCGTGATTTATTAAAAGACTTTCAACTACGTATTACTGAAACCAGTTCGAAATAGATCGTGTTTAGATTTATTTTACTCATAAAAATTTCACCACCCCATTGAAAAGACAGTGATAAATATAAAAATTACTATTTTCATCAATAAATGAAAATTGAACCGACCTATTTATCTTGCCATGAAGAAATATGAGCGTGGTTTCATTTTTTATTGTAATTTCGTTTCAGTTATCCGGGGAAAAATTGTTTCACTTAACCGAAAATTACTGTACATCATACGATACATTACTGTATACACTTATACATGTTATGAATTTATTTAGTGCCTAATTGTAATGCTTTACATGGTGAAACAAAGACTTGCATATGACTATCCTGCTAGAGCACGTCAACATCAAAGGAAATATTTCGAATCCTTTCCTCGTCAATGGCCTTCAGAAGTCAATTAATATTGTTCCAACTATAATCGTGAAGGGTCTAAACAGTCAAGTGGTACGAGTCTGTCGTGAGTTAACTCAAGGAGAGAATTGAGATGCAAATGTATCGGTCCATTACACGCGATTAAATTAATTTGGGAGAAGGAATTAGTGAAGATCATATATAGCTTCCAAAACTCCCGTAGTCTTACGGTTGTTCGATGGCGAACATATACCACTTAGCGCGCAGACCCCTCGCTTAATGAGAATATTTTCGCTTTCCAACCAAATTCGTATTTGTTATATACATCTGAAATTTTTAATAATAGAACTAAATTCTTAATCTAACAATTTCATCATTGGAAAAATATAATCAGGCTCGTTTTATCATGCTTGAGGTATAAATTTTCTGTTACAATTTCTTCAAATTGTACAGTTTCATTTACTTGAAGTATCAAATGAAGTTTTTAATTTCCGAATCTGATCACAGCGAATTACAATATTTTTTACAAGGACGAAAATTTCAACAATTAAATCGTATCGCCAGCTTTCGCAATTGAATCGATATTTATTTGTATTTGTGCTCGACTAACACTGTTTCCCGGAGAAGTATCCTATTGTTACCAAATATGCAAAGTAATAAAAGGGAAATATAATTCCTATGGAGGAATGAAAACGATCGTTGCACACTGATTGCAACAAATTTCTCTCGATTGCTATTCATTTAACAATTTGTTTAACTTCCACGTCGGGAAAGAACTTTAATTATGCTATCCGTTGATTGTGAGAGTCCCGACCGATCAAACTACATTTTCCAAGTGTTCAAAGTTTTCAAGAGCTAACCGTACTAACAGCATCGGATTATTAAACTTGTGTGTGACATTTTTTCCCACCCACTAAACGTACATCGGAAAGGTATTGGGATAAGATACAAAAAAAAAAATAAGTTGAGAGGTCCGAGAGTATGGTGCAAGTTTTTTTATTAGAGTTTGTAACTTATGTTGCTGCAGCTTAGATTGCAAAACAGCTCCGAACGCTGAGCTTCTCAGTTTGCCAATATTAAAACTTTTCTTTTCATTTTTTCTCTTCATTTTATATCTCCTTTTTAATACTTCCAATGAATTTTAACATTCAACGATGCAAACTTTTAGGATTGAGTATCGCAATTGCACGTAGTACACAAAAGTTATTTGAAGCTCACGAATAACCGTAGAACCTTATTTAATGTGCAATTGCACGAGAACTTTAACGAAACATCTGTCATTCTTGTTTTAGGGTCCTCTAATACCAGCGGCGTTCACTAATGGCTACCATTGAGCCTTGTTAAGACCTAATAACAGGTACGTAGTTACGTTTCCTCGCGATTCCTTGTAAAATCTTTTTGCCATTACTTCGAATATTTCATGTCACGTGATATTTAATGCCAAAGAGCTTCTCTGTTCGATAAATCAACCGCTCGTCGTAGGACCCCCGTACGATATGGAATTTGAACTGTTGCAAAGTATATGTAGTATAAATAGTTTATAGATAGTTCGTAATTGTAAGCACATCATCTTCTATATTCATCAGAAGCTATTTCAGTCGACACCGATCGAAAGATTATAATGTCTTCTGTTGTTTTTCCGAATTTAGCGCATAATCTTATGAGTACGGTAATGGAAAACCTTCATTCTTTTGTAGCAAACTGCAAACACGTTCACCATAAATTGATATAACAATAAACACCATATCCAGATCATTTTCTTCCTAACGATTAATTGTAAGGTTCAATCTAATACGCTATGTGGAATAACTATTGTTTATTTAACTACTGTGCTGGGAGCGAGATGCTTTCGTGATACTGGTAATTAAACTGGTACTTCGATGATGAAGTTCGCTAGCAAAGATAAATTTAATGGAAAGTATATCACGAAGGAATCTCTCTTTCCAACTTGTCCGTTCACTTTCAAGCACTCCAACAATAACACGATCCGCTTGCGCTGATTCACAAGATCATGGCTTACTTTCGACGAATTGCGTAGCGTATTGCTCCCGCGCGTACGTGAATTATTATTAACAAATGCACGATTTTCTTTTCGTCAGGATGGACGAGAGGGCAGAGCGCAGCACGGTCGACTGACGGTACAGTGAGCGATGTAAATGCCTTGGAAGAACTTATCACAATGAACGATCTCTGGACGGAGGAGGATGCGTACTACCACGAACAACAACCGGAAGAATCGCGATTTAGGTTTATAATATGTACGTAGAAGAGCGTAAAAGGTTTCCAACTGCGAGGAGGCTTCGTACTAGCGAATATATATAGCATCGATCGATTCCGCCAAACTGAAATCGATCGAAAGAAAATTACGCGATCTTCGAAACGAGACGGCGAAACGCCGAAAAACCGAAAACCGCATTAGGAAGAAAGGAAACAGGACGAAGACGAGAAGAAAAACGCGAGAGAAAAAAAAAAGGAAAATTGTACGTCCCGATCCGTGTCCAGAGCGTATGCGAGAAAAGCGATATAGAAGAGAAATCAGGGGGGGAAAAAAACGGCGAAAAAATGAAAAAAGCAAAAGAAACACAAAGGGCGAAAAAGAGCTGCGTGCAGCTAAACTGTGGCCGAAACTGCGTATTTGATGCCCGTTCTCCGACATTAATAAAGAATAATATAATAATAATAATGAATTAAATTAATATTATTAATTACTAAACAATTAAGCGACTAAGTCTAGAGTATATAAATACTATATATATAAATATATAAATATATATATAAAAATATATATATATATAAATAATTGATAAATATTAGACGATAACGTATGATCCTTAGTATTTAAGGGAAGACGAGAGGAGGACAGGAGGGAGAAAATACCAACGTACATACGAATATTATTATAATTACTGGTTATTATGTATAACATTATGGCGATTACAATGATTAACAAAACAAAAAAAGAGGAAGCCGCGGCGCGCAAGCTCGCGCGCAATATACATATATATAAATATAAATATAAATATGAATATAAATATAAATAAAAAAAAAAATATATAATTATTATACGCGTACACACGTTCGCACCCGGGAAGAGCGTTTTCCTTCCGGGCTTTCGTGGTTTAGGACGTTCAGATGCGGAGAGAGAGAAAGAGTAGAAAGAATTTTTCGAGGACGGCCGAGAGGGCGAAACGACGGCGCGGAAGGAAGAGGAAAGGCCGGAAAAGGGGGAGGGAGAGGGGCGCGAGGGGGTTGGAGGGATTAGGTGGAGATGACGAGGGCGCCTAGGCAGCCCGGAGTGGCTTCGCCCTTTTTCTTTGTTTCTTGCGCTCGCGCGTGTCCGCCACTTCTCGACGTGCTCTTTGCCGACTGAATGCCGGAATGGTACTTCTCTCGCCCCGGCGTCGTCGAACCACTCTTCTCTTTTCCCGGGTGTGCAACGAGGGAGAAAAAAAAATGACGGAAAGAATAAAAAGCACGGAAAGAGAGCGCGGAGTGGGGGAAGAGAAAAAAAAGTTACATACATGCATAGACACCGCGCGTCACACGGACGACGCGATGACGCGCGTTAGGATTACATTTTCGTCGTTGCGAGGAGGCGAGAAAGGCAAACGCGAGGGCTGAGAACCAAGATCGACCGATTCGGGGTTTCGCAAGGCTATGTAGTTAGACAAACAGAAAGAGAGATAGAGAGGGAGAGAAAGAGAGAGAGAGAAAGAGAGAGAGTGAGAGAGAGAGAAAGTATAGAACGCGTGAGAGTGAGAATGTTCGACTTTTGAGTTGACACGCGCATCGACGAGCATAGACGGAAGAAACGCTGTTCGAAAAAAAAAAAAATGGGAGACGTTAGACTCGCGAGGTCGCAAGATGGCGGCCGAACGAGAACGCTGGGTCCCGAGCGTTTGTATCGTCGAAAATCTGGCCTCATTCAATGCCGAAACGATGACCGTTGAATTCAATCGGCTGTTGTATAGCTGTCCAATCGATTTACTTGCATTAACGTCGGTACATACATACATATTACCCGTACGCGAATTATTGTATCATTGATTTACCATAATGGCGTATATGCATGACCCTATAGAGGAGCCAGTGGAAAACATAAGCAACGTTCATCGACACGTCTTTCACACACATTCACTGTAAACGTACATAAGACGCCTACACGATCACCCACACTTACACACACACACACGGATACGTACAATTGTATGTACACAGAGGCGCATACCGAACACCGTACACTCGCCTGTACAAGCGTCGGCGGCTTCAAACGAGTTCCACGATCACACGTCACACCCGAAAGAACTCATACACAACTCCATAATGTTACGCGACACAAGATTGCATTAAAGGGAAAAAAAATATATATATATACACACACGCATGTATACAGTTATTATACCGTTCGTCCGCAATGTACAGAACGTTAGTTAAAGGCGAGATCGCGAATCGCTAATATAACACGCCACGGGCGCGTTGTACGAGGAGCAGAGACGACAGAAGGGAGACCGCGAAATGGACGATGCTCCGACGAAAAGCGAAACTGTGCGTCTGTTCCTCGGATGTGTGAGAGGTACGAGAGAAAGAGAGAGAGAGAAAGTGACGGGTACGTGTGCGCGAGAGAGTTGTTTAAACATTAGGATTTACGAACACCGGTCATCTAAAATGCCATTGATGTAAAGTATAAGCGGGCTAGCAAGGAAAGACGCAAACGTGAGAGTATGAGAATAATAATGTACGTAGCCTTAATCGAAGAACGACTGGACACCAAATCTTGCGTTCTTTCGCGCTTCGAGTATTCGCTGATTGGACGGGCAAGGAACGAGGAATAGAAAAAAAAAAAAGAAGAAGAAATAAAACGGACGCTCCATTCGAATATATTCGCGATTGGATTAGGTTAATTGTGCCGCGAGGCGTAATATCGTTCGGGAAGCAGGGAGGTGTCGCGCGAAACAATGTCCCTTTTTTTCTTTCTTTCTTCCTTTCGGTCCATTCGCTATTATTGCCGTTCGCGTTGTTCCGTGGCAACGCGCGATCCTCCGAGGCTCGAAGAGCGCCGGAACGCGCTCGGAACCTCCCTACTTCCGGCGCAGGGAGAACCGTTGACGTGCATAACTCGTTCTGCGGACTAATTCACGTAATTCTGTTGGTATCGCTGATCCCAATGCTGTTTCTTACGAACGCTATTATTATTACGATTATTGAATTCTTGCGAAGTGAGAGTCGACGAGCGATTAATTATAATTACGAGAGACGACGGATACACGTGCGACAATTATAGTGCGGTTATTATTGTATTCAACAACAGGGTAAACTAACAAAAAAATGAAAAAAAAAAAATGAAGAAAACGAAAAAAAGCGTCGATTTTAAAATTGGGACGCGTGTCACGTCGAACGGCGGCCATTTTGTTTTTCTGTGCGCGGGTGTGCGTGCGCGCGATGAGAAAATCGAAAACTGTGAGGAGGAAAAAAAAAAATGATAAAAAAAAAACAAAAATAACATATAATACAAAATAAAATTAAACGAACGAGTCAATTGTCGCGAACGTTAGCAATACTTCGTCATGACCACAAATGATAAAAAATGGCAAATAATGAATTAAACTAAAAACGAAAAAAAGAAATGAGATGAGAATAAATAATGTACACGACTAAACTTATATCGCGGGTAACTAATATTCTTAAGTTGGTGACGCGTACGCGCGCGACGGGTGATCCCGCTCGTTCTCGAGATAGCGGACGTTTACCGCTTTTTAAACGCAGAGGGAAAATGCCGATTTCTTGCAAGCGAAACAAAATGGTAGCTGCTTCGTTACGCAACCCAGGAATTAACACGATTGCTGCGTTTGAGGGAAAAAAAAGAGTATATGTTTCTGACCAAACGTGGTATTCGGTGAAAATAATGGATGGAAAAGGAACGAGACGAGAGAGATAGGAATAACATCGATAGGTCGTAACCTGCGCAGAGAAGTAGCGAAACGAAGTAGCGAGCGTTTGGTTGACGGTACAGGGTTCAGATGTTTTGCGGTTTTGCCATTCGTTTCCCGAATTTCGGCTGTATTGCATAGATAACGCGGAACGGACTTCATCGCGAAGGAACAGAACCGGGAAAAGCGTCGTAGTTTTGCAAACATCTTGCGTTACTTTCTTTCTTTGTCGTTACGTTCGGGAGGCAATTAAGTTAAGCGAGCGTTAAACAGCCGTGTCGGGCGCTTCGCGAATCGCGGGATCGCGCTAATTGTTTAAATAGACGGAAAGAGATGGACTTCGCAAAAGAATAAAGGAATACACGTATATATATATACGAGAACTTGACACTACGGTTCGAGGAACGTGAAAATTTTTAATGGGATTCGTCGTACGTAGATTCGAGGGTTGCTGAGATCTGAGCAAAATGGCAAAATAAGAAACGCAAGGAGCACACACGCATATACGCAAAAAGAAAAGAGAGGTCATAATTAAATGTACAAGTTGTAACTTTTCGCAGTTAGAGTGAAAGGCATGCTCGAAAGGATTTTGGGTTCCTCGTGGATTCCTGACTAATTAAATTATGAAAACGACTGTTTGCAAGGTCTCGTAATATTTCAAAATATTGGTTGAATTTGCTTCGTGCATAACATACGACTGTGATGTTCGTTATCGCTTTTAAACGAAACGTTTTAATGTTATTTGTTTCACTTACTTTGTTTCACACGATGTTTTTGGCAGTCGGTTGTTGCTTTTCTCGACGACAAAGCGGAAACAGCTTTTAACGGGAACCCAGACGACTTTCAACGAGCATCCTTTGAAAGAGAATTATTATATATAAATATATACATATTCGAAAGAGATCTACGATCAATTATTAATTAGAACAAACAGGCAAAGAGAATGCGATCGACATACATGCGTGTTAATTGCGATGGCGGGGGTAAGAAAAAAAAAGAGTAGCCAGGGGAGGGAGAAGTGGTAGGGAAAAAGAAAGCAAGAGCAAACAAAATATATGTGAGTACAGTCCACGCGTTTATATTTATAAATATGAAATACATTAATATTGAAATATTACGTCTATATCTACATCTAGTATATATATAAATATATATAAATATAAATATACATAATGAACGATTAAGAAAGGCAAGAAGTATATTATGTCTATATAATAAACGATTAAGGCGACAAACAAACAAACAAAACAAAAATATGATGATTACAGAGATGAACAGATATATTGAGCCATTGTTTTATGCATTTGTATATATATATAGTTATTGATGTTTTAAAAGCTAATTATACTATTGTACTGAAAATTTTCCGATCACCAACGATCGTGAGAGAAAAACAGAGCGAGGGTGCAAACCGGGATTGGGCGAGAACCAGAAAGTTAGACGCGGAAAGGAGACACGAAACGAGGGGAAAGGAATGCGACCGAGGCGAGCTCGTTGTGCGATGCAGTCCAGTCTCTTTGTGATGCTTTTTCTTTTTATCGGGGGGATTTTTCGCGAAGAAACGAATCGAACGCGGCAGAATTAGGGCAAAGAAAGTAAAAGTTAGGAAAAACACGTCGCTCGCTGATCGATCGAGCTCGATCACTCGTCGCGCAAATTACACGCTCACACGAACTCATATACACGTATGTGAACACACAGACACAGACACACGTATTTATATAAATATAAATATACACGCGTATAAGTGATAAGTAATATTTACGATAATCGAAGAAAGAAATATATATATACACAGCAAGAAAAGGCGGGAATGGAGGTCACATTGTAAAGAGAGTGCGAGGAAGATGTTAATTAATTAATTAATTAAATCGATTATTGTCGTTCCGTGGTTGAACGGTGAAATGGAAGTCAGAATCACACGACTAAACAGATTTACAAGTAGAAACAAGTTTTGGTACACAGGCGACACACAGGCAGTTACACGTATTTAGATACGTATACGTGCATGTATACAAAAAAAAAGAAAAACGAAAAAATGCAGTGAAATAGCAGCCAGTTTATGGTAACTTAGTCTAATCGTCGCTTGAGTGCGAGTAGCGGTTGTAATTAACATTTTTCTTGTTCTTGTTACCATTACAATTATCGTCATCGTGGCGAACACGGTTTCTAAAGGAATGGGTAATGCAACACGAGTACCAATTGGTTTCTGATTTATCCTGTTACTTGTACAGTTGGGAAAAAATTCAGTTTCGTCGTTCGTTTCGATTCTCGTTGATGATAGTTGTAGTCGTGAATGATTTCGATCATTTCGTAAAAACCGAGTCGAAGTATCGTGATGTCGTTCGATCGTACGATATTTCGTAGAGGATAAAGCAATATCGAGTAATAATCGAACGAAAAAGCCTCAGTAAATGAAAACAACATAATCCATAATGCATTTAAGGGATCGTACGCGCAAAATTGTTTAAAAATTGATCGGTTCAATGGCGGCACGGTATGCGTTCACGATTGAATTCGTACCGTTCGGGCTTGGCCGAAGAGCAATAGTCGCTCGTGCGTGTACGATCAACATTTTAAAATAATCTTTCACCTTCTCCATTAATAATAAAGATAAACAGTTCCTCTTTCGGAACAGAGACGAACAGAGTGGCCCGAACGATTTAAGCGCCATTTTTAATTCTATCATCTTCCAAACCATACGCTCTATTGCATGAATTATACGTTACACGTTACAAATTATAAAACGATATTGTTTCACGGTTGTTCGTGCGTCTGTAAAGTAATTAACATTCGAACGGAACAATAAACGACTGAACTGGATGATAAAAACGTCAGTCTCTCGAACCCCGTAAAACGTGTTTCGACAAATTTTACAGGGTCGTTTCCCTCGGAATCAGGCAATTTCTCGGATTTAGGATAAAACTGTTTCATCACACTTCTCAACCACGCGTTTCCCTACGACATAACGAGAACAAATACCGCTCGAGGCAAATTTACGCGCGCACACACCGGCACGTGCATGCAAAACACGATCGAACTCATCCGAACAAAACAAAACGTACACGCCGAAATTTCTGCACGAACTAAATAAAAAAAAAAAACAAAAAACCAAAAAAGCAAAGAAAGACAAAGGGGAAGCAAGGGGCAAACAAAAAAAAAAAAACTGAATAATTTCACTTCGTTTCACGGATTCGTCGATATCGATCCTTCGATCACTTTCTGCGCACCCTCTATTTCTTGACTGCTGATATGTTTCCTAGAACGGCTAGTTTAGCGTACTTTTTGCTGTGCGACGCGAATACGCGCGATTTCGTTTTGGTTTCCTCAACTGACAGAAGCTGACGCGACAGGAAGTACATACGTGCGTTTGTCGTACGAACGAAACGCGCGCGCGCGATGTCACAATGTTCGAAAACAAACCCCCGTCGCTCTACGCGCGATGTGAATGAGTCGAGTAAGAAAGAGAGAAAGAGAGGGAGAGAGAGTGTGTGCGTGTGTCTGCATGAGACAGGGTGTATGAGAGGAATTCGCAAAAGTCCGTAGATAGATAGACAATTTTCGAAACATCGTTTTCATGCGTACGAGAAAACATCACCGAAATCTTGCTGCGACACGACACCGCGTTCGGGCAACTTTCCTCGCCAGAAATAATTAATATTCGGCCGAAATTTGCCCGGCACCATTTGTCTCTGGTGTTCGTTCAGCCTCCCATAGTCTCGTTGCAAAATGTCGAACGGGGGAGAGCGATCCAACGAGTGCACGATGCACGGTCGATGGAGTTTCAAGTCAGTTGTAATATAATCGATCGACACGGGATCGTGACCTTTGGTGACGTTCGGTGAAACGTCGCAGCCAAGATATAGGGTAAAGGATCCTACAGAGGAGTTTACTTTTACTCGCGCGTCAAGGGAACATGTGGGCTTACGAAGCTCACGCGTTTATTATTATTATTATTATTAATATTATTATTTTTGTTTTTCTTTTCTGTTGACTTATGTATTGTAAGAATTATTATTGCTATTGATCATCATTACGACTAATGTTATTATTGGATAGTATTACCACAATACGTCCGCTATCGTTTGCTATCTGTCAAAACGCAATAATCGCTATGTTACGAATACGATTGTCCGTTGTATTCGAGGTGACTTCGTTTTTTCAAGTTTTTACCGAGTACGCGGCCCGGACGAAATCGCCCACGCGGCTCGTCGGCGATATCAACGATGAAGCATTTTTGTAAACTTCCACGTACCAAACAGACTAATAGAGGAATAAAGCTATCTGTGTAGAGGAATCTGTTCAACGAAGTACCGATAGAGTCGACTCTGCGCGCTCGCCGCTAGTTACCAGTGTTAATTAATTAATAAAAGAAAAAGAGAAGAGAATAAGAAAATAAAAAAAAAAAAAAAAAACGACGAACCGGTGGCGGATTCGTTCGTGTCGCGAGCCGAATGCAATGTGAACGTAACCCCATACGATATGTATGTATATAATATATTATATATGCACACGCAAAGCATAAATATTACGATAAGTATATAATCATGTAATTACACGTGCACACGTTCGGATGCGCAGTTACATGTAATCTGTTAATATTCTTCCTGCGTGCAACAAGGACAACAGCCACGAGCTTCGATGAAGTTTTGCTAACCGTCGTACGGCGACCGCGTACGAGTTTAATTCAATACTCGCTATTATCGAAAATATTAGTTTCTTTTCTCGGCGCTCGCGGAACGTTCGCGCGATTGTCCTGTGCTCGATTCGCCGCAAACGATGGTTACACGGTGAACCATTCGTTTCACGCGAAGCATCGATGTCTCCGATTTACGCGTTGATACTTCAACCAACTAGTCAAAAAACGTTCTGATCATTATTTCTCACTTTGCCCACGGCCTCGATCGAACCGACTACCGATCGTACCGCTTTCCTAATTGTCGATAAACGTTTAATATTCTTTTATCGTAATATTTCGTTAACGTGCAAAACGTTCCTCTTTTTTACCCCGCAATACGCGACTCTCGGTTGCACGCTATTCAGTCGCACGACGTCTACACTCATCGCTATCGTGACTTTCTTCGTTTACGCTATTATGTCATCGCTCCAGTTTTGCGGTAAATGTTCGGTACCCGTTCGTGCAACCCGTAAAGGAAAACGCGATAGTAACCATGATGCAAACGTTTCTTCCTAGGGTACTCTTCCCCATCGTGACTGTGTTTGAATCGGTCAAACCGAGTTTGTTACACGCATTACAAACGTTCGTTTTGTTCGTTCGCCAGGTCGGAGATACGAATCGATACATAAGAGAATCGCGTGTCTTCGAGATAACCGTAGCAGTCGTGATCAGAGAACAAAAAACGAAACGTTTCGTTCGTGTTGTTTCGTTTATTTTCTACTTCACATATCAGTACCGATCGTCGAGATCTAGAAATTTCTGTTTCGTAGTCGAACGCTACAACACCAACCGTTCCGTAATCGTAGATTGTTCATCGCGGTTTTCTTTCCTATCATCGTACAGAATAATTAGCGACGACGTTATTGCATCGTAAATTGTGCCATTTATTCCCGTTTCGCCTTTTTGATTTTCGCCGCGACACGAAACGAACAGTCACGTAAACGTACACACGAACATACCGATTACAACACGAGCACAATATTCATTCGCCTCTTCTGTAAGGTAACGGTGGGGAAAATAAAAAAAAAAGAAGTTCTCTATAGAACTTGTAATACGAAATTAAAGAGAGAAGAACAAGAAGTCTGAGAAGCAATTTTAATCGATTCGAAATTTTTATGGGGAACCGCATCGTGATCATTGTGTGTATGTGTGAGAAACAAAATATTTACGAATTTCGAGCACTCGCTTCTCCCAATTCGTCGTTGTCCTTACTTTTGTGATATCTTTTCGTTCGTGGAAACAAAGAACACCGAATGTTCCGTGTACACGGCATGTTATGAATTCCGGGAGCCTGAGAATTCTCGTCGTCCGCGATCGTCGCGCTAGGAAAAAGAAACCATAGTCGCGATTCTGTTGTAACACGCGGCACGGAACGAGAAACTTTTTAAAATATTTTTTACGAACGCCTCGCGATGACACGAGCAAAAGGCGGAATAGCATGAAAGAATGGAACGGAAGCTCGGCGGCATGGTACAGCTTGCGATGAGGAAACTTGCAATATAACAAGCAATAAATAAGTCATTTTTAATTCCATGTATATTAAACAATTATGTGGATGCTTAATGAGATTTATTGACTTAAACGAGCAAAGACAACAACTAAAACGAAATACCGATTTTACATATTCTTACTAATCGTAAACGATTACAATACGTATAGTACGGCATACTAAAAATTATACGATTATGTATCGATTTAAAAGAGCAGATAAAGAAAAAAATGGTAAATAAATAATTATAAAAAAACGGCCGCCGACGGGCGACCGCCGGCGGACGGTAATCTAATCTACATAAGTATGTAAAAGTTTCAATTTTACACTACCGATAATAATGACATAACGGTAAGGCTCTATATAAGATATAATGATGATTTATAATAATTATAACGTTGTACAGAATATTTATGAAAGGCCCGCTGCTGACGAAAGAGCCGCGTGTTTCTGTGTTCGTCGGTCGTACACGTGACGAAACGTGAAATAAAAAAAAAGGGAGAGGCATAGAAGAAGAAAAAAAAGTAAACGACAAAATAATAAATAGAGAAACGAGTTAACGTTTGCCTTTCGCGTAACCAATAAATTGTTTGAATTAGTCGTGATTCGAAGCGAAAATTTCCAGGCATCCACAATGAGCGAGAAACGCGCGACTCTCTATTCAAAAGCGGCCAGGCTATAATGGATGTTTTGTAAGATAAAGCAAAACGATCACGGATTATATTGAGATCGTGTTCAGAGAAATGTATAGTCGATTGCGTATTCGAGACCGTTCGAATTAACTCGACGACGCCTTTCTCGATGGAAGAAATAAAAAGGAAAAAACGATGATAAAAAACGGAAATGAAAACCGCGGATCATTTCTTCCGCGAATAATTGAGCGTTCGCGACGTTGAAAGACAAATTACGGTCCTTGCATTAAATAGGGAAGGAGATTAAAAAGTAAAAAAAAGTGAAGCAAAAAATAGAAACAAAAGATAGAAAATGAGAGAATTTATCCGCCGCGGGTGTGGCGTAAGAAAGGGCCGATAATTTAAATTCATTGTGTATGTATACAGACAAAAGTAAATATAATATTGCGATTATAAATATTAAACTAATAAAGAATAACAATATTGTATCCCTCTGTACATATAAATATATATTACAATACGACGATTATTACTATATGATTTATTATAAATATATATACATAAATATAAATATATCTCATGAATTCACATTATTATGTTTATTATCGTTTACTTATTATTATTAAAATTATTATCATTGCGATGATAACGAGGATGATGATGATTATTATTATTATGATAATATTATTAATATTTAAGAAAAGGTTCACAACGTGCCGTGTGTATGTGGGAATAAAATATATAATATAATGGACATTGTTCAATTCAATCTAATGTCTTTGTTGTTTTTCTCTTCCCTTATTTCCTCTATCGCTAATAAAACGTTATTATTTTTCTCCGTAACATATAATATCCAAACGAAACAATTTTATGAATATTGCTTTGAGAGTGGAACGACAATTATTTTGTCCTTAACATGGTAATTAATATCTAAAAATGGGAAATTATAATCTAATGAACCATATTTATTTTTCGAATAAAAGTGACAAAGATTAGAATACTTTCATACAATTACTTACTAACGAATATTCTTCGTTTAGACACAAATTTCGACATAATAATGTGACAGATAAACATGAAGTTTAAGTAATATTTGATAACTGCATTATTATTATTATTATTATTATTATTATTATTAACGGTTTTCTTTCTCTACACCTATCCAGAGATGCCAAAGGGAGCGCCGGGTGCACCGGCAACACCTCATTCTATTTTCTCACACTATGCCAGATCACGCGTACGTGAGCTCGTAGAGTTCCGGAGAGTCAACAAAGGCGAACTGACACATGCCCTCTTTTTCAATTTTCCGAAGCTACCCGAAGTAATTTCGGACCGGTCTCGTGGGAGTCGAGAGAGGAGGGCTCACATTTGCCTCCTCGCTTTTGAACAACTGAAATTCGACCTCACGTCAACGGCATATGATTTTGGAATCTCGACTCCATAAGCAAAGTACTATAGCAAAAAAAAAATTTTGTGAAACTTTTTTCACGGAAATACACGTTTTAAGACCCCCTGATCATATTTCAATTATTGAAAAAAAAGAAATTATTTTTGTATTATTCCTATGTATGAGCGTACATATATACACTATTAATACGATTTTTCAAAATCAAAAAACTTTGAGATTGAAAATTAATAAATTAAAATGAGAGTCCACTCCTTGCCAGTATCGTTGACGCTGTAGCATTTTTCAAATGTTGAATTTCAGTTGTTCAAAAGCGAGGAGACAAATGTGAGCCTTCCTCTCTCGACTCCCACGAGATGGTCCGAAATTACTTCGGGCAGCTTCAGAGAATCGAAAAAGAGGACATGTGTTAGTTTGCCTTTGTCGACTCTCCGAAACTCTACGAGCTCACGTACGAGTGATGTGGCATAATGTGAGAAAATGGAATGAGGTGTCCCCGGTGCACCCAAGGCTCCGTCTGGAATCTTTACATCTATTGCGTTCATACTTGGCGCTTTGAATGAAAACGAGATATCGATAGGTCGATCATAAAACATGGCGCTGCCCACGATGTATTCCGTTGCCAGTACTTTAAGTACACCTGTCAAGTGTGACATGAATTCTCACTCAAATATCACATGCCAATTTGATCGATAACGTAGTTGGACAGTCAGAACGAAATGGGTATTTTCTTTTCCAAGAAAAAACCACCGAGTCGCGTAACCGAACAAGACAAAGCTGTACTGGTACGTTTTTCGCACTTTCCTAACCTCTATAGTCTCATTATGATGACCTTTAATACATCGTTAATACAATTTTGTTATAGCAATTAAAACAAACCAGGGATAAGATTAAACAGTATCAACGAAAAATCGAGCAAACGCTTGAAAAAGAACGATTACTTGCAAAGAAACTTATACAAAATGGGCAAAAGGAGTGAGTCTTACATTTTTCTGTATCTATTTTCGTCTCAATGCATGTATATATTAAAAAAATATTGTAAATGTGTTTCAGTCGAGCTTTACTTTTGTTACGGAAGAAGAAGTTCCAAGAACAACTATTATCAAAGACCGATGGACATCTTGAAAACCTTGAACGCATGGTGCATGACTTAGAGTTTGCACAAGTAGAATTAAAGGTTGTGGATGGATTAAAAGTGGGCAATACTGCATTGAAAAAGTTACATGAGTTGCTATCAATTGATGAAATTGAGAAAATTATGGATGAGACCAATGAAAGCATAGAAAAACAGAGAGAAATAGATGAAGTACTATTGGGAGCTCTTACGCAAGAGGATGAGAGTGAAGTTGAAGCAGAACTTGATGCTCTTTTAGAAGCTGAAGTTAAAGAAAAAGCACCAGAAGTACCAGAAGACATAACATTGCCAGAGGTACCAGAAGAATTACCAAGCAAGGAAAAAGGTACAATATCTATATGACTCTGTTGTATTGTTGTATTAATTTTCTTTTACAGAATATACATTTAATTGATTATTGTTTATGTTTACAGAGCGTACAAAAAAGAAAGTGCCAGAAGCTGTTGCTCTAGACGCATGAAGAGGTATTAAATACCATTATTGAAATTTGTACTTTATTGGCACTTTACACAGAGATCTATGTATATATGTACAGTACCTTGTATGTAAGGTTCAGCGTGAAATTTAATTCACACTCTAGAAGACTGTTTTCCATTACACAGTACATGTACATGATTTTAATAAGTAAACAATGGTTCTGAAGCAGTGGGTATAGGATTCAGGTAAATGTATATTCTTATTTCACATATTATGTATGTTGTGTACGGTTTACAACATTAATTACATTTGTACTACCTTATACTGTACAAGTTAGTTTTTATTTTATTATTGACCTCTCTTATACCCGTATAGATATACAAGGCGTGCAAAGGATTAAAAAACATTTTAATAAATAAGATTTTCTTTACAAAATGTTGTAGGAATTATTTAGCACCCAACAATTTTATAATACACTGTTCGAGATTAAAATATTCTCATAAAAATTCTATAAAGTTAACGAAAATATTTTCTAAAAGTTCGATAAGCTTCGAGGTTAGATAGAGATGAAATATTTGTTTGAATTCGTATGCAATATTTTGATCTCATCAATATTAAATATCTAATGGAGCTATTGTAGTAATTACCTTTTAGAGATTATGAATACTGCAATATATTACAGAAATATAGAATCCTAGGACTAATTAACACTCAAACGGTGGACGGTTGGGCGATTAGTAGTTCGATTCCAATTCGATTATTGAAAAAATCGATTCTTTCGGTACGACGCGCGTATAATGTTTGGATTTTCGAATCCATACCATATATTTATATACATATATATATACGATTTGTAAATATAAATATTACATTTCACTCTATAATTATAATTATTCCCAATAGTTAGAAAACACCGGTTTATTTTTTGGCTTGTTGAGGTTATTTGTCTTCTTATTTTTCGCAAGAGTGGGTTCGAACGGACCAAGGCGTCGCTAGAACTTCTTTTATTATTCTTTCGTATGAATATTTATAATCTACTGACCTGGAATATAAAAATTTGTAGCACTATAAAATTTGCATAGCATATTTTGTTCATTCTCAATCCATGATAAAGAATACACTGAAACAGAAGGTCGCACGTGATAAGTCAGCGTAAATTACTCAGAGTACGATAAGATAAACCGCTCGTGATGATGCACTCAAGCATACATTATTGTCTAGGAATTATTTTGCACCTACTTATTCTGCATAGGTATATTGCACTTGCTCCAGTATGTTTTCGTAAACAATAAAAATATTACGCAAACAAAAACAAGCGAAATGGAAAAGAAACATTAAGTTTACGAAAAATATATGTCGTATCATTGGAAAATAATTTCGTTTGTACGTTCTATAGTGTAATATGGTTTTTTGTTTACGAAAAGTGAAATAAGAAACAATGAATTCTTCAGAAGCGTACGTACCCAAGTTTGCAAAAAGGAGATCGTGAGATGCTTCGAGCAATTGTGTTACACGACGTCATAATTTAATACAATTTGACCTGTGCTTCACCGTAATCTACATAATTAGACAAGCACTTCGCAGCAGTGCGTATTAAATGTCACGTATGATGAGGCGGACTATGTAAATGGTACAAAAATTTCGTGTATGATTAGTATTTCTTTTTCGATGTCAGTAGCGTCGTATTATTGAGTCTAGAATATCAATGTGTCTATTAATCAAGATATTCGTGATGTTATAATTATAGTTCCGATCTCGTAATACTTATTATTTCGTACGTAACTAAGGAAATTCCAACTCTGCATGGTAGTTCCATTAGACGCGTGCCATTAATCGAAAGTAAAAGTTGGTACATGATATGCAATGCCGACACTCGTTCAACATGATAGAAGAGATTGTTTTATGGTCCTTATACGATCAAAATTTACTGGCGTGATATATGTAACACGCCGAATATGCAAGATATTTCATTAAATGTGTCTTACTCGGGAGGCTACAAAATTCTTAAACTGGGTCATATCAGTTGTCAAACCACAGTCGTTTGGGCCGACCTTTTTCTTTATTCCCAATGAACTCAAAATCTTCTCTTAATGCACGAAGAGTCCAAATGCCATGTTACATGAGTGATTTAAAGACAGCTCGAAGAATTCAAAAATACATAATACATACGAAAATAGGCAAGACATATCCAAATAGCATTGGCTCGATAAACCAATATACGTTCTTTATGCTTACTTTTAATTTTAGCTCGAGATCTCGATTACACAGAATTACTATCACTAGATTATTAATTACTGTAACTACGTAGAGATACGTAAACACTGCAGGTTAAACTTGACGTTAGCACGTATCAGTGGCCTACATGTAATTGGCTCTCATATACATATAAAACGAATCGCTCGAATCTGCATAAAGTTAAGTTTGATACGCTGACCTACATCAACTACACATTTTTTTTCTCCTTTTGAGAGTATTGCATGCTTTTAATTGCTTTAACTTTCTTTTTAAGTCATCCTATATAAATTATCTCATTACCGATTCTTAAATCTTGCTCGTTCTAAAAACATCCCACGACCTTCATTGTCTTCTGTTGAGACACATTTTGCTCATATAGCGGCGTCATTGTTGCTTTAAGTAGAACAAGAAGGCTGAATTTTTCAGTAGACCTGAGTGCTAAGCTTCGATTTCTCGATTTACTTATGCGGAGTTATAGCAATTGGGTTTCCGTTACTTTACACTTGTAGGTCGTATGAAAATATCATGCACGCGTGTGAACCACGACGGACCGTTCGATAAATTACGTGTCGTATGTCTCGAACAGCGTTGAAATTTCTTTTACGGACAATTAAATTCGATCGTGTCCGAAGACAGAGACATTAAAAGTAATTTGACGTTTGCCTCGTCGCATTGCATATATCCCTCGAGAACGAAGAAACTTTGATTGTTCGTTTCTACAACGACTACGCTCGAACACAATGTTTTACGTCTCGATGCGTCGCGTCGCGCAATGACGACGTATAACTATTTCGTTGAATCTCGTAAGCCGTATTTGCACGAAGAACGTCACTTCAATAGAAGGTGTCCGTTGTATTTAACTTCATCTGGAGAATCCAGATAAGACCAGCTCACGGCGCCAATAACAACGTTCAAATTGTTTCAACAAATCGCGTGGCGCCTCGAGTATCATTTTACAGACACCCGGCGATTAACACAATTTCAATGGTCAGGGACGATCAACCTGACAGCGCGGCCCTGATGATCCAGTAATAATCAGTGATAATCAGTTATCGATTGTCGATTAATCATGTTGGCCGCGCGCGAGCTCGCATTAATAAAGATATACGCGATCGTCGTTGCTGCACGAATTACAACGCCAATTACTTGCTGGCTTGTCACTTTTTATTAATGCCCGGAGTCCGCGAAAGGAAACTTTTATCGAAGACTATGCGATTCAGACGGCGATTAATCAGTCCTCTGTACGTTCGTTTCTCGAGTGCTCGAGAATTTTTCAATTTGAACGACGATACGCGAAGAGAAAAGCAATCCGTGGTGATATGTTTCCATGTCAAGAGAGTTCGTTACGCCGAAGATCAACGTTTGAGCGAGCTGTGGGACAGAAGGGAAATCACTGTGTTTATCGGAGGTCGAAAAGCACGGGGAATCAACAAATAAACCGCCATCGGTTGTGCGTAGCGACCGACCAACTGTTCTGGAACATCACGCGGACTCCGAACGGACGATCGCACATGGCGCGCGTGGCTAGCAGTAAATTACAGGAAGTATCGCGGTCTCTTGGTGTTTAAAATGACGCCTATACGGACCAGAAGTTCCGCATTTAAAACCGGATGACCTTCGAGAACGGTAGAGAGACGAAGAGAAAGGAAGAACGGCCGAGAAACGGGATCCCTTGACTAGCCTCAAACTCTCCGTTTCTTTTCTTTTCTGCTCAGCCGCAGTTGGCATCGACTTAAACAGCCCAACAAATATAAACGAATGTTCTTTAATCGAACGTTTAGTCATCATCAATTTAGTCACCGACCGTCGTTGGGTCTTTTCAGACCCGTATACGCGTACCCAAAGATGGACTTAAATTTTTGTCGCCCTTGGCCGCCATATTTTTGCCATTTCACAATGAAAGTAAAGGTCGAAAGTATTTTTTACGAAAATTTCTTATTTCTTATTTAAAAATTAGCATCAATCATTATAATAGTAGTCGAATCAGGTAAAATTGTTAGCATAAACTTCGTAAATTACTTTTCTAATGGTAGTATAAACCAGAAGAAGTGTTTGTTTAAGATTGCAAACTTATTGTAATAGTAATTAATTTGTTATGATGCCAATACATCATGAACTTACATAAAGATCATAAGTAGGCAAGAGGAAATGCGCAGAGAAAAATTGTATCTGATTTTAACATTTCTACGCGCAGATAGTATGAAGAATTAATTAGATATTATATCACTAGGATTAGATCCCACATTATATTTAAAGAGCCTCATTATATTAAGAAATCGTTTCGTTACCACGAAATAGTTAAAATCAAGGCTGTAACTTCTTCTTCAGGAAGCTTGTATCCGTACGCGAACAAAGGAAGTACAATTTTATGGTTTGGTAGTCAGAAGACAACTACATATTAGCACAGTCAATGCACAAAATCGTTTGGCGGTTGCTAAAGACCATGTAAATAAATACGTGTGAAGATAACACGCTGATTTTTTAAATCCACCATGATTATTTTAAACATTAAGCATGGCAGTGGAAATGTAAATATTAGTTTGTGGTTATTTCTCGTTATCGGATACAGGCAATTCACACTTCGTTGAAGGTACATTGTCAGGAGAAGCATATATAAATATTTTATAACAAAACCTACAGGGAATTGCTAAAAATATTGCAACAAAATAATACTCCATACATCGTTGCAAAATTATAAAAGAATTTTTCAATACAAATAATATTCAATTGTTATCATGACCATATTGGAATACTAATTTAAATCTATCTTGATGGTAATTATTTGAAATTAACTCAACAAAATAATACGTTAAATAAATGTTATTTACAAGCACGTTGATACTTATTGATTGCATGTTAAACAGAGTTGAGGATGTAATATAAAGTCGAGGATATCAAACACATATTAGTGTTTATATAAATTACTTTTATTACTTTTAAATTATGTTCGCTCACCTCCAATAATTTTTTATTATAAGTATATACGTTTGCCACTTATCAATCATTCTGTCTGAATTTTTCTACAATATACGATACATATGTTACTCATTAATATATCTATGTCAGTCATTAATCTCTTCTCTGCTATGCTGAAATATCTAGCTAAGGAAAATACGTTTTTCAGGCTTGTCAACACACTTTCCGCAG